ATGTTTAGACTAAATTGCTTAAAATCTCATAACATTATACATTTAATATTTTTGTTATATTGACCTTTCAGCTGTGCCTGGCGAGCAGTACAGAATTTACACTGACATGGCTCACGTGCACTCATGTTACTATATCAAATAACATAAAACTGACCTTTGATCTGTGCAAAGTAACTTGTATTGGCTGTGTTTTAGTGGACTAGTATCTTGTAAAAAAAAAAATATAATAATTTTTAAACCCAGCCCTTTTCATTCATTGTCTTGCATTTATTATAATTAAAACCCATCTGCCATTTATTTGGCCAACTCACTAAATTATCTAAATCCCTTTGTAGATCAGCAGCATCCTCTTCACGGCTAGCAACACCCAAGATCTTAATATAATCAGCAAATTTAAGTAATTTATTGTCCATTCCTTCATCTATGCCATTGATGTAAATCCAAAAGAGCAAAGGTACTAAGACTGAGCCCTGAGGTACCCCACTTGTGACATTAATCCAGTTTGACTCTACTCCATTTGTAAAAACCCTCTGCTTTCTTCCATCCTGCCACTCTTCTATCCAATTGGCTAACTTTTCCCCCACACCTATAGAGCTAATTTTTTTACAATGTGGCACCTTGTCAAAATGCTTTATGAAAATCCAGATACACCAAATCTACACCCTTACCCTCATCTACATAAGTAGTAACCTTTTAAAAGAATGTTAAAGATTTATAAGGCAAGATTTTCCCTGGGTGAAACCATGTTGACTATCCAATAAAATTCTAAACTTTGTTAAATGACTTTGTAAAGCATCTGTTAAGTCTTTCAAAAATTTTCCCTTGAAAAGAGGAATTACATTAGCTAACTTCCAATCCTCTGGTACCTGCCCAGACAAAAAATAGTAGCAAGTGGCTCACATATCCAATTTTTAACCTCCTTTCAAACCTTTGAGGAAATATTATCTGGCCCAGGAGCCTTATCATTTTTTAAACTTCCCACTTTTTTCTTAACCAGCTCAGAATTAATGCAGTCATCTTGTTTGATCTCATTTATTTCATCCCTCAGATTCAGATGTCTGGCACGTAATCATTACATAACATATATTATCTTTATATACATAACTTCTGTTTGTACTAACTTACATATTCCCTACATAAATTTAGCGCAGTCATCTTGTCTAAGATCAAACTACGGTTTGTGGTATAACTCGGTGGGCATGTGATGTTGGATGTAGAATTCTTAATTATCTTAAACATGTGGCACCAACATATGCTGAGCTGTGGTATTTAAATACTTAACTGCTGAGATAGTTTTCTGGTAGCATTTTTTATTGGTATCGTTTAAAGAATTTTAATCTGCTGGTACTTTGATTGGACTTAACTGCTGAGATAGTTTTCTGGTAGCATTTTTTATTGGTATCGTTTAAAGAATTTTAATCTGCTGGTACTTTGATTGGACTTAACTGCTGAGATAGTTTTCTGGTAGCATTTTTTATTGGTATCGTTTAAAAGATTTTAATCTGCTGGTACCTTGATTGAACTTGCTCCTCTGCATTTGAATTCACTTGTTCAGTGTTTATTGTTTATCTTCTGAAACTTGTGTGTTTAACTGAGCTAGTTCAAGCTTCTGCAGATGGCCTTGCTGCCACTTATGGGAACGATCATCACAGAATTTAACATATCATCAATCGGAATTGGTGTAGCATTCAACCTTTTTACATAGGAATTTAGTAAAATAGCAACTTGAACAAAATACAACATATAGGCTAAAATTTGTGTGTTCCGTACTTAATTCAGTGAAATCAATATTTTAAGATCACTATTTTTCGTTGCTAGACCTCAGTTTTTAATGATAGTAATGAATAATCATACAAGTTTCCAAGATTTCTAAAGCCTAATGCTAATGTTGAAAACTTAAAACAAATAAAAAAAAAGGCTTCCCATGAATTGTAAGTTAAATTTTATTTCAGCTTTACAGTCATGCTTTTAGTATGTTGTATACATATTGTTCTGTGATTTTTCATTATTCTTCCAAAGCTATATGGTTTGTGAACAAAATTATTTAGATAATTGGTTGTTATTATCAAACTACACAAACATGCTATAATATGCCAGAATGTATATGAATTAGTTGCCAAAAAATTTCTATCTGTGAAGAACAAACCAGAATAGATATAATTATAGGTTAACTTGTGTTGTATACTGAGATGTGAATCCAGGACCTAAAAAAATGAAGTAGGACATTTAGATGCCACTTGTTTATTACACAGTAAAACAATAATTACAATAGATATTTTCCATGTACAACACTATATAAGTACAAGTATATAAAAGACACCATAAACTACACTCAACTGCCAAGCAGCCAAAAGTTAAAAAAAACAATTATGATATATCAGAGAATAAAAAAAAGTGATAACTAAATAGATTTAAGCATACTACATTACTATTTAAATTTATTCCATTATATGAACTGTATATATCTAAGCCTATTTTATTAACAATTTAAATCTACTTTGTTTTATGACCTGTATATATCTAGGTCTTAATACATTACCAGTAATAACTTACTTCATTATATGATAGCATATAAAACTATTGGCTATCGTTGGATCCAATGGGTATCCCATTTATCTGGTCATAAATGTGTCATTATAGAGGAAATGGTTTAGTTTTAACACTTCTCTAAAATTATTAGGTGTCTAAATGCCCTAGTTTCTCATTATTTTAGGTGTCTAATTGTCGAGTTGTCACTGAGGTATGTGGCTTACTGCCAATTCTAGCTTTGTACGACAATGTTTCATCCTATACAATTTTTATGGCTAAAGTATACATAAAAGAAATTTTCAATTCCAGCAAAGAATATGAAGCAAAAGGTCTTATCTTCCTGTTTGACCAACTTTCTTGATCTTCTGTGACATTTCAATCTCCTTGCTATTATCTTTGATATCCTCAATTTCAGTGGAATGTAACTCACATGTTACATATAAAGCCATTCCTGCCCTCTCTTTAGTCTATCCCTGTTAAGTAACCTATAACCCTGTATTTCAAAGAAATTTCTGTCCTCAAAGTCATCTACATTTAACCATGTTTTAGTTATTGCCATAAAGTCATTTATTTTATTTCCTATACTTCTAGCATTACCATAGTAACAAATAAGCCTATCCTTAAAACTTCTACTATACTTATTTCCTATGCTAAACCTTTCTCTACATCTGATGGTATAAGGCAAGTAATAATAATTTAGTATTAATAGTTACAAGTATATATATTATTATTTATATTCATCTAGCAATTTAGCCTTGTTGAGATGTACATTCATAAACTGAGGATTACTTATAATAACAAGAAAAAAATTAATGCTCCCCCACCCCCCCACCCCACAAGTTTAACTAGCATTCGCCGAGATAGGCTATTTAACACAGCACTGACTTTAACTTGCATTAACTTTCTATACATAGTGAGTGGGGATTCAAATTCTAGTCAGAAAACAATTTGTTTATGATTTAATATAAATCAGCCTATTGATTTAAAAGTGAAATTGTAAGTTCATGTTATGAAAATACAAAATCTTGATGTTACACTTTATGCTTATTACAAATGACAATGTGCTCTAAGTACTAAATTAAATTAGCTAATAAATGTTAGATTAATGAACTAATATTTACTATTGAAAAGAAATCATTATTACAAGTGTTTATTAAGTAAGAGGGATAGTTTATTTTTGAAAGTTTAAATTATTGTTGTTTAGTTTTTGCTAAAAATTGGATACATTAGTAAATTATCTAAACTTGCAGTTAGTTATGAAATATGGTGTATTAGTAAATAATAGTATCATTACTATTTAGTGAGGAATTCTTAGATTTATCTTTAAGTTATGAAATAGCTTAATTTTAGGAAAGGATAACAATTTAAAATTGTGGACTTAAAAGTAACTTTTGAGGAGGTTTAAAAAGACCGTACACTTCACTAAAGAGTTGGGAATAAGTTGGAGATACCTTCTGGAAAGAGAGCACTATTAGAGGATGGGAGGAATAGTAGGTTGGGAGCAGAAATGAAAGAAACTGGTTAGAGTTATGTTAAAGGTTGCTTTGGGGTGGATGAGAATGTGTGTGCTGGGTATACAAGGTTGCACAGCAGTAAAACAAATTAATGATAGAGACACATCCGACCGTTATTCAGATGTCAGTCTTGACCAGATTTGAACCATTTGCTCTTTGTGCTCCAAGGAAAGAGAAAAGGAAGAGGCTACACATTACCGAGACAATATGTATGATACTTGTAGTGGTACGCATAGAAAGACTATAACTTGCTTGGTGGGTGCTAATGTACAAAATGTTATAGAGCATGTTCAAAGTTTAGTTCTTTTAGCAGTGTATATAGGACCAAATTATGTTGGAAAATTGTAAATCAGAAAAGCTGATTGCTATGTATAGAGAACTAACTTCTTCAGGGCTAGTAGTCCAATTCTTGTATTACTAATCCTGATGAAGCTGCAATGGCAAATGTTGGCTGAAATGTTTTTTTTTGTTGTTGTTGTTATTTGGAGATTAAAATTTTTCTAACTTTTTCAAAACTCCTGTGGCCCTTTTAAGAGTGTTTAGCATGATCCAAGGTTTAAGTGAAGTATTATCATCGATATTTTTACAGCAATAAGTGAGATAGTTTTCAGGGTGTGGGTGAATTATATGCCAGAGATGGGTTCCACTTAAACAGGTTAGATAGTAGGGTGCTTGGAGAAGCTCAAAATATATTCATTAAAGATAGTTTCAATTTGACTTGCACATTGTTGAGGAAGCCTTGGGAAGTTGACAATAAACAAATTGATGGGATAGTTGGGCTATGAGGAGTATCGAAGAAGGAGTGGCATGTTAAATAATAGTTTTTTTAAAGAAAAGTGTCAATTTTAAGGATAAACGTAAAGGAGCAAAAATAAACTTTGTTGCAAACTACTTGTGTTTGTGTCACATAACCCAAGTAGTTTATTTTTAATATTTTCCTCTAACAATGTTGTATTGTTAGGATGTGTAGTATATCTAGTTTTATTGTTCTTTATTATCATTATGTTTTGTTATGAAAATTATTTTGCATTGTTGCTTTGTATTAACCCATGTCTCCTTACGTGGCCAATCTGAGTAAGATGTTATTGCATGTATGGCCCAAAATATTGTTAACAGTGTTGATATCCAACTGATTAAACAGTGCTTTTGATCTGAATAGGCAGCTTTCCCTGATCATAGTTAATTTGTATATTAATGATATATTTGTAATGTAATTTATCATAGTTAATAATATCAAATTAATCATACTAAATATTAACCATCGATATCATACATATTTACTTTGTTTTTTTGGTATTTCGCTACTGAATGAAATATTTTTTTCTGCTTTAGAGAACTGTCAAACTTCTCAGCCTTATTAAGCATAGGAATTACACTGTTTCACACTCTTATCCTTCAGATTACTACATAATTTTTGCCAATACATTAAAGACAATCCTTATTTTTATAACCTACAACACAAACAGCCTTTCTTAGCCATGTCCCACTTTTCAGTAGATCCATTTCTCCAGAGCATAGAAATATCAAATGTTCTCAAAGTGCATTACAAATATCACAAATAAATGCACAGACAAGAATTATGTTGATTTACAGATATAGGAGTTTTTTTGTTATGCTCAGAAAACTGGTTCATTTTGACTATTTATAAAATCCCGATCCTACTGTACTTTAGTTACTGCTACATAAGATTAATGTCATATTAAGGCTATTTTAAAAAACAAGTGATCTGTTTGTAGATAATATTAAAATCTTGGTTGATATTGGTGTAGTTGTATTAATATCTTAATGTTCCATTTTATTGTAGGATTTACTCCTCGTGGTGGGGGTGGTGATCGTAGAGGATTTGGTAGAGGAGGAGGAGGATTTCGTGGTAGTGGAGGTGACAGAGGAGGATCAGGAGGATTTCGTGGTAGTGGAGGTGACAGAGGAGGTTCAGGAGGATTTCGTGGGGGGGGAGGTGACAGAGGAGGATTCCGTGGTGGACGTGGCAGTAGTGGAGATAGGAGAGGGTTTGGCGGTAGAGGAAGAGGTGGTGATCGTGGTGGATTTAGAGGAGGAAGAGGAAGGGGTGATGGAAGAGGTGGGAGATCCCCTGGTTTCCGTGGAGGTAGAGGAGGAGGAGGAGGTAGAGGTAATAATTAAATCTGTCATTCTAGTGATGTAAGTAGTAATATCCTGAGTTGTAGGTTGGCTTTAAAGGCAACTAAGGCTTAATTTAATTATTCATTTGTCATGAGGCTCAGTTGTTAAACCTTTTTTTTTTTTAACTGTATCATCTTTATAATAAAATGTGACATTTAAATTTGGGACTTTAATGTTTATTTCTAAAAAGCTAATGAATTTTGGTTTGATCTGAAAGTCTTAAGGAAACAGATACCAATATAAATTTTAATTCCTTGAAAAAGTAGTTTTTGTCATAAATACTGCTTTGCAAGGAATATCTTATGGATAATGTAGCACAAATACTGACAGAATGTTCTCTTCCTAAGCAGTTAAATGAACTTCTAGTGGGACTTCAACAAATTTAAGACATTTTAATATTAGTGTTGTAGTTACATAACAAAAATATCCATTAAAGGTAGCTGTAGTTTAATGATAAACATAAAAACAAAAATTCACATTTTTTTTGTGGCAGCATTTAAATTAAAAATAGTAAGAATTAAAACAATTTATAGGCATTTAAATATATATTCAGAAGTGTTGTATAAGGTAAACTATATTATTTCTACATTCTTGGCTTCATGATTTCAGCTTACTCAGTAGCAGTTTCAATTAGTTAAATCAAACATTGTATTTGAATCTGTTGTTAATTTCTAGTTGTTAATCGCTGTATGCCTTACTGTCACATTCAATCCTACTATTTAATTAAGAGTAGCTGCTTAGGTGTCAGATTTACATGACTCATTACCCTCCCTCTGATTAGCAGTTCCAATTTAGGAATAGTTTTTTCTGAATATTGGGATCTTTTATTTGGCGATTTAGCATAAATATTACGCAAGTTTCATGAAATGAGATAATTCAAGAATTAAATTATCATAAAGAGGAACACAAACTGTATTTCAGTTTTGATCTACCTTGTTTGGTTTTGTAGGAGGAATGAGGGGTGGGAGAAAAGTTTTTGTGGAGCCTCATAGACATGAAGGTAAGAATATTATTTTTTACTTTTCCAAACATTGTTAGTATCTTTGCCCTCTTTGTATCTCAACAATATTTAATGAAACATGAATTTCAAGTTTTTTTTAATTTGTTAACTCTATATTTACGGCTAAGGGAAACATGTTAGAGAAATAATGTTGACTACTATTCTGAATTTAGTATTTTGTCTTCATAAAATTCAATAAGATTTTAGTAAACATTAGAAGTGTGGCATAAACAAAAAATCAATTTTTAAGTGTTTTTACTGAAGCTTTGTCTGAAATTTTCAAAGCCTTTACTGAGTAAATTTTAGTAAAAAGTGATTTTCATGCTAAGAATAAAATTTTCTTTTTCTCTTCATGGTTAATTTGTTTAATCTCTATAGCCTGCTAAATTAATATGAAAAGTTTTTCTCAGTAACACTATTTTATTCACATCTGGTTTCATTTAGTTTTATTGTTTTGAGGGGTACTTAGACTGTTTCACATTACATTAAAACCATTTATCACTACAGGACATCTTTCTGTAAACTAATAATCAGTCAAGTTACAATCACAACCAACGATGTGCATATGGTTGCCTGGATCTAAGATATTGAGTATCATAATAAATTTTATTATTTTTTCATTTCAGTTTTCTTAATTAACCTAAAGTTTCTCATTTTACATTTTAGTTACTTTTATAGCAATAAATAAAAATTTTCCAAAAAACAATAAATATAGTATTTATGTCTGGACTTGGGCATTTGGCTATCAAGGTCTAGTCTATCTATATCTACTTTCTTGTGATGATGTTCATTGTCCACAAAGTAATTCATGTTTGTTACAAATATGCATTTTAGAACACAAAAAACATATAATGCACTACAATAGAATGTCTCAAAATGACTATAATTTAACTAACTTTTTAAGTAAGCTCTAAATGGGGAAAGCTTCACACCCAATCTCAAAGAACGAAATTGAAGTCACGTATCTACTTACAAGCAGCAAAATTAAATAACCTGTATAAAGTATCTTCTAAAGAAAAAGCTGCTCATTCTGCTGGCTACAAATAATCCGATAGCAACGTCAGTGAGAATTATTGATATTTTTTGAAGGACTAAATGGTAAAGGATGGGCGTATTATGTGGGTTGACATTTTATTTTATATATCAGTCAAGGAAGAAGATGAAGGTTCTAAGTATATATTCTAGTTTGCCAATTTCTGTAGTATAAATTTATAATTAATTTGACACTAAAACACATAAAAGACAAGTTAAGGTTGTGAATTTATTTAAATAATTTCTTTTAAAATTAATCTTCTCACCACAGGTTAGTCAAAGTGCACCTGGCACGACATTTTAGAGTTAAATTCAACCTTTATTTACACTACTTTATTGTCATCGTATGTGAATAAACATGTCATAAATACATTGTTCGTAAATCAAATTTTAATATTATGAACATTTTAATTTTACAGAGAAATATTTTTAAAAATTCTCAATATCCATAGTAAGAGAATTGACATTTATTATCTTGGTTTTTCCTCTTCTCTAATTTATTTAACACCCCTCCAAAAAAATACAGAATTTAATGTAAATTATTCATTATAATATAGATATTACTCAGCCAGAGTATAATTTTTATAGCCTTCAATCTTATTTGTTTATGGAACCATAAACTAGAAAATCAGAGCCACCTATCACATTCTCTCTTTCAAAAATTGCTAACAGTTCTGTCTGATGCTTTATACTATATTATTTATAGAAATCCAGTGTTTTAATCTATCAAATGACATATTATATTACATTGTTTTCTGTACGGAAAGTGTCTATTTTGCCTTCAGTTTGAAAGATTGTCTCACGGTATTCATGTCAACAAGCTTAGCTGAATTTTTAAAGGCTCTTATCACATAGTTAGAAAGCCAGATAAATTATGATACTTATAGGATATTGTTTGCTTTGTTCATGTTGTTATTCTTTGTTGTTAAGAACATTATTTAAATAAAAATTATTTAGTGTACTAATACCATTAATGTAAAAAAGTAGGCTTAGATTTCATCAACAGTTGACAGCTAAAAAACAAGAAGACACAGGTAAGTACTATATTTTTTGTTTTTCATGCATATTCTTTATTTATTATAAAAGTAACCAAAATGTAAAAATTAGAAACTTGTTAGGTTAGATTAGGTAAGATAATGAAAAATAAGTATAAACAGATGTATACTGTTATGAGCTTTAAGGTATTTAGGATAAACAAATGTAGTTCGTCTTACACTTTGCAGTCATTCTAGAAAGAAATAAGGTAATTAAGTTTTAATTCCTTTTTCTTTTTTTTTCTTCAGTGATTATGAGATCAGTCAAATTGACTGATTGTGTATAGTTAGTGTAGAGAGAATAACATATAAAATATAAAGTTTTACAGAAGAAAAAGTTTGATATTTGTTTAGGTTTTAGAGATTATGCAAATAAAATTTTACAATTTTCAGACAAAGAAAAGAATTTTTAATCTTAACATGAAAATCACTTTGCACTAAGAGCAGTCAACACCCTGACTGTATATATTCAAGGACAAAGTTTAGTAAAAATACGTAACTAAAAATGTATTTTTTTGTCTACAGAAGTCTTGTAATGTTTACTAAAATGTTTACTTGCAAAATTTCGCGAAGATACACAAAGCATATTAAAAGTTATAGTATGCAAACTGATTGTTAATTTGGGGTCACATGGTCGGTGTAATCTACTGAGCCTGTAGGGTGAGGGTTAAAAGTAAACGTGAGATAATATAATAATAATTATAAGATATGTTTCAATCCAAGCTTATTATCATACATTTACATTAGAGTAATAAACTGGTCCATTTACACTATCAGATGGTTTCTAGTTACTGTACAAGAAATTACAGCAAATTGCCAATGTACAGTGAAATCAAAAGCTGGGAAATAACAAAATAACCTTTTATTTTCTTCTTTGAATGTGTTATTTTGCAAGATTCTTGATTTTCTTATATTTACAATTTCAACTGTCAATATTTCCAGATCTATTTGCTTGTAATTTTATGATTTTATTACATGTATGGACCACTGTCCTTCATAAAACACAATACTCTCAGTGAGAACCCATAACCAATCTATCGTAAACAACATTAGCAGAGTGTTGGCCTTGCTTTTTTTGCTAAGTAAATTTCAAATATTATGCACTTTAAAATGCAAAAACTATATTGGCATACACTGGAATATAATGTCCCAAAAGTACTATAATTTATCTCATTTTTTAAGTAAGCTGTTTTCCACCTTGTCTTCAGTTTCTTCTTCTACATTGTTTAATTTTTAACTTGGTTTCTTTTTTTGTGGAATTGTCTTAGTTGGAATGCCTTACTTTTTGGAGTTTGTCTCTCTCAGTCTTATCTAAGGGACCTTTACGTGACTCTTCTTTTGAGATGAGGATTTTGAGGGAGTTCCTTATATGTTAGAAACTTGCTTTTTTTTATCGTTAGTCATCCTTGTCTTTCAGACTGGAACCTCTGTTTTGTTCTCAGGGTTCTCACTTATCCTCTATTCAAACCTGTTACCTGTACCATCTCTACATATTTTTTTTCTCCTCGTTTGCAGATGTCATTCTAACATTTTTGTCTTACTCCTTACCACAGAAACAGGTTGATTTTATTCACAGACTATGGTTACCCAGGAGAATGACTGGATATTTTCTTTCTCTGTATGACTGTTTCAACCCCAGTCATCTCTTTTGTCTTATTGGGCAGCTTATTCTTCTCTTACTCGTACAGCTTCCTTTTGAGGTACTCAACATTGTCTGTTCTTGTCATGGGGTTTCTTCTCATAACTTATCTACTTCCACTTTGACAACTTATCGGAATTGTTTATATTTCCGTGGCTCATAATTTTCATATCATCTCGCAGTTTCTTTTGTATCTGACCATCAACATCTCCTGGATGATTTTTTGCAGGTATGAATTTAAATAACCCCTGTCACCTCTGGATTACATTATTTGGATCATATTGTGTATTAATCTCTCTCCAATTACTATTATCTACTTTCCTCAGGGACTGAAAGGAGATGATTTGTTGATTTTATTTTCTTTTAGCACACACAACAACCTTATTATGTCTGTATTTCTATATACTTCAGATGATAGAGCCCACCCAGTGGTTGGTGTTGACTCTCAGTGAACACCTTTTTCCTGAAATATGCATTGAGTAGAGAATAACAGATGGTGTTAAGTCCATTTTCTCTTGCTCACTGCTAACTTATGAAGTTGGATTTTCCAGTCTTTGGCAATTTATATATTTTTTCCTTCCTAGCAATAGGTTTCTGCCTTCATACGTGAATAAAACCTACTGTTCCAATTTGTGGTAACCCTTTCCATAGTCTGTCAGTGTGAGACTATTTGTAGATGATGGAAAATTTGTGTTTGATCCACTACCGCTCCCAGCATTCTCCAATGTGCTAATCCACCATTGAAGTTTTTTTCGTGAAATGAGAAAATCCTTGCCTCTGTAGTACCTAGCCACTGGGGAAGCTGATATGGAGATATTCCGTCAGTCAGAAGTATCCATTGTACTTGGAAGTGTAACACAGGCAACCTCCATACACTAAGAACGAGACTGTTTTCAATGATTGTTAGCAGCTGTATGGGTCTTGCATTCTGCTTGGGACACAAATCTGAGGTGATTCATCTCCTGCACATTCTTCTCCTGACAAATTTTTCTCCCATACTGTACGACAACTTATTGCCCTTCCTTCATTACACATTCATGCTCTGCTGACCTCATGATATACAGGTTGGTTTTGCAGCCTTCACATTCTGCCCACCTTTGCTACACTTTAGCACTAGTCAGGAAGCTTTTTCTGACAGTATATTTCGTGTGAAGAGATAGATGCAGTTTTCCACTCAGTGATGTACCACTAATTGTCCCTTCACCTTCCTAGTGGGTGACACACTCCATGAGTTTCTCCTCAGGGACAGTATTGATCGTCGAGAATGTCACTCTTCTTTTGGATAGAAGATTATACTGTAATGGTAATTACATCATAGAGTAGTGCAGTAGTTGTGTTTGTGATGTGTTAATATAGGTAATGTTGTTTAACCAGTATAACCATGTGCCTTTCCTAGCTTTTTCAGTGTTAGTGGGACCAATTGTTTCTATCAGTTTAGGTAAAAAATGAGAAGTCTGATTAGAGGTCCATCTTTGACTATCATAGACTAGTGCAGTAGTTGTGTTTGTGATGTGTTAATATAGCTAATGTGGTTAAACCAGTATAACCATGTGCCTTTCCTAGCTTTTTCAGTGTTAGTGGGGCAATTGTTTCTATCGGTTTTGGTAAAAATGAGAAGTCTGATTAGGGGTCCATCTTTGATAGAACATTGGTTTAATTCGTCTGGATTTTAGAAAATACTAGACCACCTATGACCCATTGGGTCACCCGTTACTCAGAGGTTATGACGAATTCAAGCTAATTTCAATATTGCATAGAAATGAAAGTTTATTTTGAGATAATTTAATTAAATATTTCAGCCCATTCGTGTTATTCATAAATCAAGAAATAATATTTGATTGTTGATTGGGAGTAAATAGAAAGACCATTTCATTTTTCAAGGAAGTGCAGTCAGAGTTTTCAGGTATTGTAATGAACAAACCTTATATGTGGTTGATTCAAAATGCCTGAGAATAAGAAATACCAGATAATAGTGATGTTATTCATGGTTTATTAGAACGTAATTGCTATAAAAAAAACATAAAAAGCTATTTCAGAAAAACATTTCATACTTGCTCAAATTACTGCAAGAAACAGCAAAACTTGATAACTGATACACTACGAAATTTACCCAATGAAAATCTTTCTCACTGTCTCACAGTGATTGATTTTTTGACTGAGAAAATTTTCTCCTTTCCTTACCTACCATAACCAAGGCACATTATTGAGAAATTCATCAAAATCTTGTTTTTGTCATCTTTCAACACGGGTCGGTCGATTTGACCGAGTCACGTGACCTTCTGTACTCATTTAAAGTTGACATTAATTTGATACTTATAACTCTCTATATATTGGGTATATTTTCACAAAATTTGGCAGTCTTTCAGTTAATATTACAAGTCTTTCACATACAAAAGTCTTATTTCTTAGTGAAATACTTTTGATAAAATAAAGTTTTGTCCATGAAGATATTGAGTATTTGTTTTGAACAGTCCATATGCGAAGTAATTTTCATGTTAAAATCAAAAATACTTTTCGTCATCTCAAAAATCTCAAATTTCCTTTGTGTAATTCCTAAAGCCTCCTAACTGCATTTCAAACGTTTTTTCACTAAATCCTTATAGTTTATTTTCTCTACCCTAATCTCAAAACTGGATTGGTCAATTCGATAGACCTCGTAACCACCAAAAAAAATCAAAATAAACATAAATTAGCCTACTTTTCTTTCTAGTATGACTTCAGATTGTAACCTGAAACTATATTTGTTTATCATAAGTAGCTCTAAGTTCATAACATTATACATCTATTTATGATTAAATTTTCTTGTTTTATTGCCCAATGAACCGTGTCTAACTGCTATCCGTGCCATTACATTATAAGTTGTAAATCACTGGGAATGTGCAGCTCACGTTACGCTATCGAATTATATTATTATTGTTACTTATTTTACCTATTCTAGTCTTAAATAACTGAAAAAGATCCGTACTTTTAATTATAGTTACTTATATAATAATAAATAAAGAATAAATATGAAAAACAAGAATTAAATTTCTTACCCAATCTTAGTTTTATCTTGCCCTCGATTGTCAAGTAGAGTTAAGCCTGATTTAGCGATTATGGTAAAGCACTTAACAAATTTTATTTACTTAAATAATACATCGAAGAATATAGACTAATAGCATGCAAAAAGTAGACAAATTCACATCTAAAAAATTTCCTGGCTTTCTAACTGCCATTACAAATTCATCTAAGCTAGTCGTTAACTTTACCACGGGAACGAAGTTGCTACTCAGAGTGACATTGACGGTTATCCGTTCAAAACACAATGTTATACAAAACGCCATTTGATACATAAAAACTTTGACTTTCTATTGGTTATATATAATGAAATGTAAGAGAGAACTATTAACCAATTGTGAAAGGGAGGATGTGGCAAGAGGGGTCTGATTTTCTCTTTGATAGCTCTGTAACAAAACAAAATTGAAGCCCATAAAAATTATGGTCTATTTAAGCAATAACGAATTTATAGAGAGCATTTCACATTTAATTTCATACATTTTCGAGGGGTGATGGATTAAATAGGTATGATGACATGCTAAGACAAAATTTGTCGTGTGTGTGTTACACTAGTGGAAATTCAGGATTTTCTTATATATATTTCCTTTTAGAATTAAGAACTTAAAACTTGTATACTATCAAAATATGGTTTATTAGCTAAGATTTTATGCTATTCTAATTGACATAACTAACAAAAAGTAGTTAATAAAATTTTAAATGTAAGGCACTAAAACCTTGTGTCATGCGCAGTAAAAGGTACCCATGCTGAAAGAGTTAATGAAGATGAGAACATTGACATGGAAATAGATTTGAATGAAAAAGTTTCATGAAGAGCGTGAATGGTAGTGTGATGTAAAATTACTCATGCTAGAAATTTTCATAAAAGTGACCCGAACAATGGTGCTAATTTGGTAACCCATTGCCTGATTTTAACTAAACTTGTTTTATTCTGTTTCTATTCTCATTTCAGAAGTACCATATTCTTACAAGTATGGCACTGTTGTGTACCATTTTTGCTGTATTTAATTACAGACAAACAAACAAACAAACAGTCTCAGAGTTTTAGTAGTATATAGAAGTTAGATAGATGTATGCAATACTTTCGTAAGTCAGCAGAACAACTAAATGCTACATTCAATGGCATGTTTGTTTCTAATTAATGCTTCACAAAGCAAAACAGCTTATGAAAGTTACATAACAGTGTCAAATTCATTTTCAATGATCAACGCTGTTGGCAAAAGTATTTTAATGTAACTATTGTTTAATAATAAACATCTTAAAGTTGTCATCTTTTGACGAAATAGGGAAATAGATTTGAATGAAGAAGTTTTGTAAAGAGTGCGAACGGTAGTGTGATGTAAAATTACTCGTGCTAGAAATTTTCATAAAAATGACCCGAAAAACGGCTTCAATTCGGTAACCCATGGCCTAATTTGAACAAAACTTGTTTTATCCTGTTTCTATTCATATTCCTATTCTCATATTTTGTACCATTTTTGCTGTATTTAATTACAGACAAGCAAACAATCTCAGAGTTCTATTAGTATATAGATTTCACATTGGGACTAAAGAATTCCAAGTAGTACAAATTGGAACTTTAGGCATTTTAATAATTTGTAATGAACATGGATTTATAAATATAATATAATGCAAAGCCATTTTCTTACATTTTATTTGAGTGTTTATTTGGTGCAAGATTTTAATTCCTACACTGTTGTTTTTGTCGGGCAAAACTGTGTTTGGAGCTCTAGACTGAGTGCAGACTTGAGCACTAGTTTCAAATTTGCAACAAGTAACCACTTAATTTATGGGATTAAGACAATGAGCTGCACACAATATTTTGCATCATAATTTTTTTTTGTGAATTGTAATGTTCACTATCTTGTCTTTTGAAAGCTTGAAATATTGTATAAGTAAATAAACTAGTGTTTCTCGGTTATGTGCATGGTTTGCATGAATTACCTAGTTGTACGATATGCTGTTTTTGTTCCAGTTAGATTTGCATATGAGATGTCTTAATTAAGCAAGACTCACTTTTAGTAGGTGATAGTATTAAATGGGGAAAATATTTTACATTGCTAGTTTATAGCACATAACAAAGCAATTCCAGTGTGAGTTGTGGATTTGTACTATTAAATAAAACCCATCTTAATTTCATGATGACCACCATGTTTATATTATGTTTTTTGCAATGCAAAGAGTGTTTTAGTTGCATTGCTCAGTTTTTCATAATTATCTCTTTATGCTTGTGAGTTCTAGTATTTTGAATGGGAATTTCAAATCTGTAATATTGTGATACTTATATTTAATAATTATGAAGTGAGTCTTATGTTTTTCAAAACTGTTTTTTGAGACCTGGGAAATGGATAATTCCACCAGGGAAAAACTCTTTGAAACGTGTTAGAATTTTAAGTTTTCATTTCAAATACATCCAAAGAGTGAACAGAAAGCTTCCACTGGATCTGATTTCCAAGTTTGTGTTTCTAGGAGTCTTCATTGCAAGAGGAAAAGAAGATGCGCTTGTAACCAAAAATCTTATTCCTGGAGATTCAGTTTATGGAGAGAAGCGAGTTTCAGTAGAAGTAAGATAAAGCTTATTCATAAGTATTAAGTTTGGCTTTTTTATTTGTATGTTGGTTTGTTATTGCTATGAACTAGATTTACAAACCTTGTAGTCATTGTTTTGTAGTCTAATTGGAAATAAAATTCCTTCAGGATAATGCATGTTGCATTGGCCACATGCAAGGCTACACATTAGTTTTTTGTTTTTAAGTAGAAAATGTTTTATAAAAAAAATATACGGTTTGGTTTGTTTATATTTTACATAAACTGTGAAATTTCAAGATTAGATCTATCTGTTTTTAAATAATAAACAAATCAGTAATTAAAGGATTTTCTTTTCAGTTATTAGTCCTATAGCTTTAAAAATTGAAGGTAATCATAAGCAAAATACGCCTTATATTTATTTTAAGTTATGTTTGCTTATTATACACTATTCATGTACCATAATTATGTTTAGGCACATTGATCGCTATTAACACACTAAACATGTTATCGGTTAGTTGTTTAGATTTTGTGACTATTTACAGGATTTAAATGGTAAAATTGAATATCGTGTGTGGAATCCATTCCGTTCCAAGTTAGCTGCTGCAATTCTCGGTGGTGTGGACCAGATTCATATGTCTCCTGGTACGAAAGTGTTGTACCTCGGTGCAGCTTCTGGAACTACAGTCTCGCATGTCTCTGATGTTGTGGGTGAAGTAAGTGCGGCTATGGATTATGATTAGAAATTTTATGTTGTCTAAAACTAATGCATACTTGCTGTTGTATCATTTATTTATTTTTTCATCATTTCCTTAAGTGAATAAGCTCACTTATGTACAATAATAGAAGATTTACAAGTTTTAAGCCACTTCATAGTTTAACAGATACAGTTATTGCTTACTAGCTTAAACAGAAAATCAATTTTTTTTTTTCCAAATCAAAATTATAGATATCAAACAAAATTTTTATTTCTGACACGTATTTATATATTAAAGATTTTATTCCTCATATCTTAATATTTTTAATAGCAAAAATTAATATTATGTTTGTTTTTTCCAGGATGGTCTGGTGTATGCAGTAGAGTTTTCACATCGGTCAGGTCGTGACTTAATAGGTGTTGCCCAGAAACGAACTAATGTTATTCCAATTATTGAAGATGCTCGACACCCTCATAAGTATCGTATGCTTGTAGGTGAGTGTATCCTCTTTGTTGTTGTTTTTTAACATCAAATACCTCCATAGGTTTTTTTTAAATATCAACTGTTTAACACTATTAAAGCACATGTGAAAATTTCCTTTCACTACAAAAAATGCTAAGTTTCAAATGATTTAGTTAACAGTACAATTAGACTTTACCAATATTATTAAACGTTTTACACAAAGTCAGTTTTTGCCACTTCTAAGTGAGATGAAAAATAATTTAGAGGCATAAAGGAAAGTAATTTATATCTAATTAAATAAACTTCTAATAACATCATCCATTTTAGCTGCAGTTTGACAGGTAGTTTAAAATGTATCTAACTAAATTGTCTGAAGCCTTTTGAAATTACAGAACTATGTCATCGTAGTAAGCTATTTCCCATATCTCAGTTAAGCCTACAAAAACTTATGATTTATTTAAGTTTAATCTAAAACGTTTGTTACATATTTGTTTTAGGCTAATCTTTATCACTGTGTTTAAGTTTTGCCTTCAAGGCACGTGATTTTTATATGACTCGCATGTTTAATTAACGTGATAAAATTGAAACTTAGGAACCTATTAAGTCATTTTCATACTTTTTTATTATGAGGATGGTGTTATCATATTTCTTACTAGGGTTTTGTACCAGGGTATTTATTTTTTTAAAAAGCAATGAAAAGTTTGATCAGAATTAACAAATGGTCTAAATATCAACTTTTATTCACTTTCGATGACAGTTTGAAGTGAATAGTAGGAAATATCTAAGATCTGAAGTTTCATTCTATAGTGTTACAAGAAACTCATTTTGTAGCCTTGCACTTAAAAACAAAAGCTCCCACTGCAACCTGCCATTCAAAGTGATTATTTAATATCCAGTGGGTTAATTTTAATTTATTTAACATTATTAACTTGTAATAATAATAGAGGAAAGTAATGCATAGTGCAAAAACATGAATTATTTATGTTCAGCTATATTTGCAACATTATTAACTTGTAATAATAATAAAGGAAAGTAATGCGTAGTGCAAAAACATGAATTAGTTATGTTTAGCTATATTTACAGATCTAGTGGTACGAAAGTAGGGTGTGTGTCTATATATATACGAGAACTAAGATAATTACAAAGATAACGTATAGGCTAATGAGAATAATCTTGTATAAAGAACTGACTAAGAACAATTTTTTATGTTATATAAATTGGTACACCATAAAACTAATAACTACAATCATTAAGTGATCAATTGGATATCCTTGCTCTTAAAAATAATTTTGTCTTCAGATAATACTCCATGAGGTTTGGTCGACCTAGAATATCTAAAAGTTTAAGATAGTGTTAAATCTAAACATGAAAGCCAAAGATGCAGAATCTTCATAAGTTTGAGTATACCTCAAATATTATTTAAAAATGATAACTAATTTAATTACATATTGGTAACTTAACTTAGCTTAACAAAGAAGCACTGCACCTGTAAGTATTCAGGTACTTGCAGTATTTGAAATTATTAAAGTTCACAGTCAAGTACTCGGTACTTGGAAAATTTTACAAATGTTCCACCACTGTTACTGTAGATGTAACAAGCAAATTGAGATTATCTCTACAATTTCTGAAACAATGGTGATATAAAAAAAATGGTTTTTCTTCAACGATCTGCATAACTTTAGTAAGATTCGCGTAGAATGTAAATAGCTTCAGGCATGTACTTCTGTTTAGTAGTAGTCAATAGCAAAAAGATATCGAAAATAACATAAAAACATGCAACAGCTAATATTTACATTCAGGGGCAGGGGGAATAAAACCAAATATTTTAAACTGAAAACTCGAGAGTTCTAGATACATCTCTTTAATGCTTATGTTGTTGTGCCACAGAAGATTGACATCTTACTATAGTACAGGTCTGAGTTGCTAGGTAAGAATTTTACACAAGCCAGTTATTGCTCACTTGAAGGGTCTTATAATAAGTCCTTCCTACAGAAAGTAGCACACGGTCATTGTTCTGCAGATTATCTAAATGTTTTATAGTATCCAGTTGAAAACCAGAATAACATAGTTCTACTGTATGATGAGTGTCACCAGAATACACGGGCTGTTGCTAGATTGTATACCAAACAGTTCTAGGATGAATGTCATATTTCACATGAGATTATAAGAAATGTCTGTCAGTGGCTACATACTACAGACTCATTTGTGCATAATTTTTATTTTTAGAGCGTAACATAAATTAGATATTGAAATGATTATAAACGTAAAGGAGATCGTAATTAATTAGTTAATGCAGTACTCCATTCAGTAGTACAGAATCTCTAGACCATTGATCATAGTGTTACCTTCAATAGTACAGGACCCCTGTACTATTGAAGGTAACACTATGTTCAATGGTTTAGAACCATAAACCATTGAACATAGTGTTACCTTTAATAGTACAGGACCGTAAACCATTGAACATAGTGTTACCTTCAATAGTACAGGACCATAAACCATTGAACATAGTGCTACCTTCAATAGTACAGGACCATAAACCATTAAACATAGTGTTACCTTCAATAGTACAGGACCATAAACCATTGAACATAGTGTTACCTTCAATAGTACAGAACCCCTAAACCATTGAACATAGTGTTACCTTCAATAGTACAGAACCCCTAAACCAATGAACATAGTGTTACCTTCAATAGTACAGAACCCCTAAACCAATGAACATAGTGTTACCTTCAATAGTACAGAACCCCTAAACCAATGAACATATTGTTTCTTTTAATAGTACAGGACCATAAACCATTGAACATTACATTCCTTTCAACAGTACATTATGTTCCATTCAATTCTACTACCTCTTAGATTTTGCTTTCTTAAATGTTTTGGAATGCTTGTTGGAAACATCTAATTTTGGGGGTTTAAAAGTTTTAACATAAACTGGTATTTCTGTTTTGTTTGAGTTAGGTAAATTTTTCTACTGGATTTATATGTATAAAATATATAACAAATTTTGCATAACAAATCTTAACTCCTTTATTTATTTAGGTATGGTTGATACTATTTTTGCTGATGTTGCCCAGCCAGATCAAGCCCGTATTGTGGCCATAAATGCTCACCATTTCCTGAAGAATGGTGGTCATTTTGTTATATCAATTAAAGTAAGTAATGTTTGTTAAATTAAAATATGGAGAAAAATTGTGGACTAATGAAACTGTGGTAGATAAATCATGATCGTTTATTTATTAGTGTAGTCAAAAGTGTAGTTGCTACCAAAGTTATTTTAGTGAGAAAACCATTTTGTTCCTACCAGAGCAGAAGTTTGGAAAAAAAAATGTAAGATCACTAAGAGTAGATGTTAATAGAATTCTTTTAAGAAACATGCCTATATTTTTAAACTTCACCGATAAGAGAAATATATTTAAGTATTAAGCCAATCTTAAGTAAAAAAACAAAACAATGTTTTAGTATGTAAAGGGCTCCTACATTTTTTACTTAACTTTAAACTATGATAGTATTATAATATCTTTTCAGGCTAATTGTGCTACTATATTAAGAGTATAAACACAAAAAACTATTTTTTTTTTGGCACGGTGAAAGGTAAAATCTTATTATTTTTAGTTACTAGCTTTAGTAACATTTACTATCATCATGGCTAATATCTGATACAGTCAACATCAACTTTTCTAAATATTTGTTATAATCTTTTAGATCATATGATTTTATGGAAGATTAAAGTTAGACACTTGGTAATATACAGTATTCTTTTAGTGGAGAATTTACAATGTTACCTTTATTCTGCTTGCAGTATTTTTGTTTTACTGGTGATGGTTCATTTTACTGAAGGGGTAATACACAAGCTGAGTACATTATATTAAAATAATTTTGGAGCATCACCACATTGTTATTGTTCATATTGTCATGACTAATCATACTCGTTACAATAGCTCTATAGGGTAGTTTTTATTTCAAAAGACTATTTAATTATTTCATTTTCAAAGTACATCCCTCCTAACTTAGCTTTTTTATAATACATCCAATGTATGTGGAAAGTATGCATCTTAACTGTCCAACTTGCACAGATATCCATCAGCACTGCATCTTGCAACTTTAACTATGTTTCATGTGGAATATTATGAATACCTATTTCATTCTCCTTCTGCTTGAGATATGCTTTGGTTGAATGTATATATTGTAGAAGCAACCTGTGGACACCTGAATTGTGTTGCATTTCCTTACAAAAATATTTTTTGATTACATTATATGCTGTTGCATGAGACATGTGGATGGCCTTTACAAACGATATTTGTGTTCATGGATTCTCATGTGTTACAAGGCACCATACTTTGTTCATGCTTTGGGTGTGACTTGTTACAAATCTCTTTCTGGATGGTTCTGGTTTCTCTAGTTGATCCATTTAATTTTTTTTTTTAAATCCATTAAATAAAAGGGATTTTTGTCTTGTAACTTCTAAATCCCCAATCTGAACACATTTTCTGATCTAAGTGTATGAATATTTTGGTCAGAAGCAGCTGTTATATACTCTTCTCAAAAGTGAGTAAGTTACTGTGGTGTCAAACTATCCATGGTATATCAATTCAGTTCTCATCTAAGCTGTTCCACCACAACTTTATATCAGCTGTGTATTCAACTGTTTAGTCATAATGTTCTGTGATTTTGATTTATACTGTCACATAAAATTGCTGATGAGTAAGAGAATTTAGTAATAGATTTATTGATAAACATATCAATTTACAAACACATAGGCAAACTGCATTGATTCAACTGCTGAACCAGAGGCTGTGTTTGCTAATGAAGTGAAGAAACTCCAAGCTGAGAGACTGAAGCCCCAAGAGCAGATCACATTAGAGCCATACGAAAGAGATCATGCTGTAGTTGTGGGTATATATAGGTAAGTAATAACATTGGTATTCCAGATTTTAGACTTGGGAACTGCAGTATTATGGGATTTCATAGCTTACTTGAATTCTCGGACGCCAAAAGAAGTAATTTGAATCATTATTGTACCATGTTAGTGTTAGTCAACTTTACTTATTGAATGCAGCTTTTATGTAAGTTGAATTTTACTTATTTTGTTTGTTATTTGTTGCTTAAAAGGTACTGAAACAGCATATTCAAAAGTCTTAAATAATGCAGTTAAAATCTTGACAGATCCTTAATATGCTTAAAAAGCATGTACGTAATTTTAAATCAGGTTTTTTATTTTATTTTGTTATTTCAACTCTAATATTTATTTTCCAAATTGAACTTAAAAAAGCATTCTGCCATTTTCAGTCAATCTCTTTCTTTGTAGACCTATTAGAAAAAGTTCTAACATTTCTGTGTGTTAAAGTCAGTAAAACTAACTTTGTAGCCTTGATTTCTAATCCCCCTCCCCCAAAAGATATATAATTGAATAGGTAAAAATTAATGAATTAAAGCTAGTAAATTAAATTTACTGACTTAATAAAGAAGATATATAGAACCTTTTCTAATAGTTCTGTAAAATAAGTGTGTAAATGTAATCTTCATAATTTTGTCTTTGTTTTAAATTTCCTTTTATACTTTTCAATATGACTGGTCATAAATAGCTAAAGATATTTCAGGATGTAGGGTTTTTCCCCCTTGTGTTAACCTGAAATTGGCTGCTTCTCATTAAGTGTGACTAGTGGTTCTTTAGCAGTCACTTTGTTTGTTATAATAGGCTCAACTTTTTCTGAGGTTAATTCACCATTTTGATATTGTAACCACTGTTTGTTCTGATATCCCTGTGACAGAAAATTCTAGTGTTGTCCTTTTTATCTTCAGTATTTCTTATCCTATAATGCAGCAGATTTAAATATAGACAAAGGTTTTTTTTGAATACTACTTTTTTTATCATTTTGCACATTTAGTTTTTAAGTTAAATCACATCAGAAAATATCAACTGAATATACAGTTGCTGATAATATTAGGTCGTCAAGAAATTACTTTTTTTTTATATGAAAAAACCTGAACAACTTGTATATTTATTAAATGAAATAGTCTCCATTCTTATCGATGATGCTTTTCCATCTTACAATCAGAGGTTAATGCCCTGATTGAAGAAATCATTTGGCTTTGGAGCAAAAACGTGTTGATGTTCTCTTTAACAACTTCCACATTTGCATACGTTTTCCCATTAAGATGGTGTTGCAGTGAACAAAGAAGATAATAATCTGATGGTGCCATATCTGGAGAATATGGTGGGTTGGGGAGAACTTCCTGAGAATCCATTTTTTTATCGCCGTTGCAATTCTGTCCAAAAATGGTTCATGCGCATTACGTGTCAGAAGAGACAAAGCAACATTCACATGTTGGAAACGATGATCATCGGAGAGTTTGTGAGGCACCCGAACACCTTTATGGAGTTTTCCCATATTCCTTAGATGTTTACATATTGTTTCATGAGAGACATGCAATTTCAGG